ATCATATATACATGCATATATATATATATATAGAGAGAGAGAGGGTGCGGGGCATAAGTTTTAAGATGGTTTCGATACACACACACACACACGCAGGTCCGAACACGACGAGCCTCATTAAGGTATTTTTGTTTCACCTCTTCTCCCTCCACCTTGTTCGCTGAGGCAGGTTGAGGGAGGCCGGAAGCCATGGATGCCATGGATTCACTCACCTCACCACCCAGGATGTTATATGGCTTGTTTTTGCCTCCCGCCTGGCTGGGGGCACAGGGTTGTCCCGGCCTTCCCGCCCCTCCACCTCCACCCCTCCACCCCTCCCCTCCACCACCCTCCACGCTCCACCCCTCCTTCCACTCCCACTACACCCCTCCACCTCCACCCTTCCACCCATCCACCTCGTCCACTCCCTCCGCCCCTCCTCCTCCACCCTCCACTCCACCCCCCGCTGCCAATTAGACATAATTTATAACGTAGGGCTTGGGGCGTTTGCAGGGTCGTGTGGGACCAAACGTTTGCAGGGTTTCGGGTGTCTGCAATTCTAGGATCGAGCTTGCTACTTTGAAGGCTTGGAAAGCTTTCTGGGTAACTTCGGATCTCTTGTGCGTGGGGGAAGGGGGGGTTATAGGCTGCTGATGGGGTTGGGTTATGTTAGGTCCAAGTCAGGCTCAGGAAAATACAGTAATTTCATAGGATTTTTACCTAGGTTTTGCGAAAATCTGTATAGCTTTCAACGGATTTTGCAACCCACACCTTGAGATCAAGAGTTTAGGGCATAGGCGCGAGTCATGGGCACTGGCACTTGGCTTGTGGGAAAATGTGGAGTGGATGAAGGTGGAGGGGGTGGATGGTGGGGTGTGGAGATGGAGAGGGTGGAGGGCGAGGTGTAGGGCAGAGGGTTGGAGGGTCGGGTGGAGAAGAGCGGGGAGGGAGGGAGTTTCGATTTAAATGTGTTTAAACAGCACTTTTAGACTACCTCTGCGGCTTCAGGGTCTTGGCAGCCCTCCACTTACTTTAGAAACTTCACCATGCAAAATGTAACACAGTCCGAAATCCGACACCAGTGGCCTCTGCGGAGAGTGTCTTCGACCTGACCGGGGCTGGATCGTCAGCCTCTTCCTCCTTGGCAGGGGCATGCATAAGCTTGCTGCTTGGCGTTGGGGGTTTCGGGCTTCGATGAGCTGATGGACCAGGGGTTCAGCCGCCGCTTGGGCATAATGACTTGAGCCACGGCTTGCAAGGCCAGCATGACGACGGCAGATTGCATTGAACAGTGTGTGTTTGTCTGATTTTGTGTGCCGAAGTGTGTGTGCGTGTCTGTATATGCAAGCCAGCGACATCCGAAGCCTCTCCGGCCTGACCGACCGCAGCATATGAGAAGGCAGGAAACACACGACTCCAACTTGGGGGCGGACCCTGTTCTGCAGAGGCAACTTGTAGAATCAAAGCAGAACCCGTGGCACTTTGCTACAAGCACAGGAGCTGCAGATCAATACAAACAGTGCATGAGGTCTCGTGTCCGAGTTGAAACTAAGCTCTGCCCAGTCACTCCGGTCCACGCGAGCCTGACTTGATCTCCCCATGTCACCAAGACTTGTTGTTTGAACACGCTGTTTGGAGTCTGTTGTCTGTCGATGCAACGACCAAGTCTCACCGCCAGACTCTAGATCACCGTCATGGAACAACTTCACCGTTTCAGCTACATGTCGCCAGGCAGCGGCAAGCATCTCCGGGCTGGCCGCACCTCAACAAGGAGCAAGGAGCAAACAGCAAACCTACCATCTGGGGCCACATCACCTGGCTTCTCTAATTTAAAGTATGCACACTATACTGAAACTCTGCAGAGAGGACTTGAACGTTGAGATCCCGCAACATGAATACTGAGAAGTATTGCATTTCTAAGTCCGTGCCTCCTTCTCGGACGCTGAGGCCTGCCACTTGGGCGACCCTTCATTTGCACACTGCCGGACGACGCCAGCATTACCTCAGGTGCAGCAGGGTCCAGGCTCCAGAGGCGAAGAGGCTGCAAGAAGCTCTTCGGAAAGGGCAGGTCGGTGTCTGATCTTGGAAACTCCAAGGACGGTGCCATGGCCTCCTCCACCCTTCGGGGAGGAGGATGGTTGCGCGCCCATTGGTCGCAGCAACTGCCTCAAGGAGAGAGACGCCCACATGAAGAGTGCTGCAGCTGCTAGGACTTCAAAGGGCTGGCTGCAACCGAGCAGCGGCTTCCCTGTTTATATCTCGAAGGGCACGAGGATCAAGGTTGGAGCCAAAGTCGGCGGCGAGATGCGAACGTGAGTGTCTATCCAGACGGCACGTGCCCAAGATGTGGCTGCCCGGCCGAGATTCTGAAGCAATCCGATCAGACTTGACATTGGCAGCCTTGCTCATGGGTTACGTTTCACATTCTGGACCTATCTCTGTGCTGTCACAAGCTGCTGCCCTGCAGCTCCCACAAACCTGCTCATGAACCCATCCCACGGCCGTCACTTTACCATGTCTTTCTCGGACGTGGGGCTTGAGGTCCGGTTTCGGACTTTGAACAGACGGGATCCCAGGTGGGGCTCCGGCCGAAGGAGCTCGTACCACAGCCGAGGTCCACGATCTGACCTCGGAACATTCTCACCTCGCAAGCCCCGTCTGGGAGTCTGTCCATTATGCGCAGGGTGGGAGTCAACCCCGGTCACCCCAATGCGCGGATCGGCGATCAAAAGCATAGCCGGAGTGCCAAACGATTTCCCATCATGCCTCATGGACGGGTACATGAGACTTCAAGCCTTGCTCGTCTCCAAATCACTGATGCACTATGGACATGCCTACGCAACACAGGTTCAGAACCTGTCCCAGCAACCACAGCGAGATACAAACTACTGCACACTACACGCACTCACGCTCGCAA